TTTTTTTTTTTTTTTTTTATTAAATGGAAGACCAGAGGTTGCCAGGCCCCCTGTAAACTGTTGAGCCACCTGCTGTCCTGAGGTGCTGAAGGTTGGCTTGGTTCCTCAGGACAGGAGGAGGCTGTCAGAGTCAGGAGTGGAGGCCCAAGATCTAGTGAGTGGGGAAGCAAGCCAGGGTTGATGTTTATGACCATTTCTCGTGCCATTGCCACATCAGAGCTGATTGGAAAAACCTTTGCTGCTGAGGAGGTTGAAGCATCTTCCCTCAGAGCACTGCCCTGAGTGCCGTCTCCCTCCTGAGAGGAGCCAGGCCAGTCTGACCTCACAGATAAATGGGATTGGCATTTGGAGAGAGGGACACATAATAACATGGAATCCTTCCAGGCCCCCCTTTGGGGAAGGAAGGTGTTTGTTCCTCTGAGGCGAGTGAGAGGGCCTAGGAATGGTGGTGGCCCACATGTTCTCTCTTGCATGGGATTCTGTTTTTAACTTGACCCTGGATGGTCTAGGGCTCCCTTCACTCTCATGAGTAGGCCTCCTTCGGCCAGGCTGTGTAGCGCTTCCCACCCTCAGGCATAAGAGTGCAGACTGGCCAGACTGCAGTGTCCTGCTGCTGTGGCCAAGGCCAAAGCCTGCCCTGAGCCCGGGCATACCTGGAAGCCCCTTCCAGGGCCTGGTCCCCCAAACAATCTCTCTTCCTTGACCAGCACAGGGAAATCCAGACTCAGGGTTCCAAAAATTCCCCATTCCCAAACCAAACAAATCATGGATCTCCCCCTTAAGGGGTAGAATCAGCCTTTTAGAGTGCAAGCCTCTGGAAAAGGGAGCATGTCCTACACAATCAGCCTTCCTCCTCCTTCCCTTCTTGGGTCAGTGGGAAGGGCCCATCAGGCCCCCTGCCCTGCTCCTGTGCTGCCAGCCAGCAGTGAGGGGCCACTTGGTGACTCTGCAGGGTTCTTTAGAAAATCGGGACACAGCCCATAGGAGATTTGGGGCACCTTTCCTCAGTAAGCTTTGATGTGGTCCAAAAAGAGCCTTAAATCAAGAATATTTGTGGTTGAGTGAGTGTGGGGAAAGGTGGAGAGGAGTTTAGGTTTGTGCTTTGTAATCTTGGCATCCATGTTTTGTGCCTGCCCTCCCTCTCGGGGAAGGGCCATGCTTGGCTCTGCTAAAAGCTGCTAACTGGAAATGGCGGACTGTGGTGAGCAGATGGGGGTGAGGCCAGGGAACTCTCTGACCCTTTGGAAGCAATTCCCTGGCCAAGGGAAGTTGTGTCTCAGGAAGGTGGCTCCTATGTGTGCCTGGGTGTGGTTACAGTGTGGCCCCGAGTCTCCCCTGGAGCTGTCAGTCCAGGCAAAGCCAAGAGCATCTGAGTGGGTCTCTGACTTCCCAGTGGCAGCAGGTAGCTCACAGTCTGAGTTTAGTGAAACAGGGTGTAGTTCTTCTCCGCACTCTGTGTGGTCTGGCCGTGCAGGCAGGGAGAAGTCAGTCTAATTAAAGATTGTGCAGTTCCTAGTGACAGGTGCCAAGAGGTTATGATACGGGTTTCTTGGGTCTGATGTACAGTGTGAATAAATGCTTGCAGCTCTTAGCCCTTTTTGATCAATGAAGCACTTTTTTATTAATATTTTTCTTTGTATGTAAAGGAGGAACCGTAACTCTCCGTAGCTGTACATATAACCCTTTTCTCCTAAAGAGGAGTCAGTCAGTGCTCCTATATTTTTCATTTTTTGTCAAAACAAGAAGTAAATACTTTAGAACTGTTAAATATATAAATAAAGTGAATAAAGTTTAGTGTTCCGCATGGTAGCATTTGCTAACACGTTCTAATTCTTTGCCCTGTGGTTTATTCCCTCTTCATCCATTTTCCCTCTTACAGAGCAACAGTTTGAGGTGCTGCCAGGAAACTGAACTCTGGCAGAGGAAAACTACAGGTTTCGGTTCTACTCTGGACCTTGGCAAGGGGGCGCACCACAGTGCCCAAGCACTGAAACACATGTCCTTGATGGTTTTGCCCCTGACATGTCTAAAGCTACAAAGGCAAAGCAATCAGGCATCCTAACAATCAGGGGGTTTTCCTCATCCAAAAAACAGCATCAGTAGTAAATATAGTAAATAAAAGTACCTCTGGCCTCTAGCCCCCATTCCCCGCTCCCCCGCCGCCCCCAGCTCTGGCCCCTTAACCCCACAGCAGCATCAGCTGCATCTGCAGTGGTGGTTAAGCACAGAGCCCTGCAGGGCGAGCTGGAAAGATGTTGGCACAGGGAGAGGTGGCTGGAAAGCGCTTCTGCCTGTTGTTCTTGGATGAGAGCGAGTGGGTGGGTAGAGAGACCCTGGGGGTAGAAGCTGAAATGGGTGTGATTGGATTATGTGCCTAACTGGAGGTCTTCCTCCACACAGAGAGCCAAACCCCTGCTCTGTAGATCTGCAAACCAGCCAAGCAAGCAAGACCATAGTTCCTAGTCACTTCTTGACCAGTGTCTTGCTCTTCGTGGAGGTGGATTTTCTTTCCCCGCATCACTATTGGGCATCCTTCCCATCCCACCCCACAGGTCTGTGGGAGAGCTACATTATGCAGTTCCTCCCTAGAGAAGGTTGGTACTGAGTAGTGCCCAGCTCTGGGGTCTCCAGACCAGCGTCTCTGGTGAGTTGGCTGGGCTCTAAAGAGTGACCTGCTCAGAGCCTTCCTCAGGGCCTCAACCCCGAGGCAGGCTTTCCAGGGTCACTTTCTGGATGTACTCTCTGCCTAACGTATATGAAGTACCTAAAGAGCTCAGATGATTCTAATCTGAAGGCTGCATGTGCCATCCAGCAGGTGTTTGAGAAACAGCCTGTTCTTTGGGAGAAGGTGCCCTTCACCTGCTCTCAGGGAAGCCAGACTGCATTCAGACCAATTTGTAAAAATGAGTGTGTTCTAGCCAACGTGTATCCACACAGAGCTTCTTACTGTTCCTAAGGTCTAATGGTTTAGCCCTTGGCCAGTTAAAACACTAAGCAGAACCTAGCAAGGCTGGCGGGGGCCCATAGGTGGGGAGCTGCTGGGGGAAGGTGAAGATGAAAAGCCAGAGCGCTGGTGAGACCTGCACAGTGTGGGTCTGAGGCAAGGAACTGCTATGGGACATGTGTGTGGTTGTCCAAGGGCAAGGCCAGCTTTCTTCAGGCTCCCACAAAGAGGCATTTGGTACGAAGCAATGAGGTACTACTACCAGTGAGCTAGCTGCCAGGATGTCTTCGTCTCTGAACTTTCTTATCCTGGCAGTTTCTCAATATTTCCCTTCTCTACTTTGGCCTTAATCCCAGTCTAAAAAATGATAGGGCTGCCTTAATCCATTGGGATTTTTCTAGTGAGGATGTACAGAAAATTTTTTCTTCCGTTATTTTGCTAATATGCTCACTGTTGATTTCTATGTTAGCAATGCATATTCTAAGACTTAAAAAAAGGTACTGTGGCAAATTTGAAGGAAAATGAAAAGAAAAATGGTGCCAGAAGATCTGTTAAACAATATCCAGCTATTGAGTATATCGAAATGGGAATCAAGGGTATACCCTAGAATAAGATTACGGGCTCTTGAGACGGCTGATACACTTTGGCTGCTGTGCATGAAGCCAGGAGATTAGATTCCATGTTTGTTGAAGTTAACTCTAGGCCTGACCTCTAATCTTTTAGAGAGAGGGCTGATTTGAGGGTGCTGTTGCAAATGATATCATTTAGCTAGTGCCTGTTCAAGTGGCCTGTCCCCAGGGCTGCAGCTGCACCTACCCAAGTGAATTCACTGAGGAAAGGCTAACAACACAGTTGAAAATGGACCCTAGGTTGTGGAGCAGTGACCGACTCTCCATCTGGAGTTTTGAATAACATGGCAAGAATCCCAGGTATTTAATTTCTAGTCACGTTTTCTAAGAACATTTAAGTCGAAGTTACTGACAAGGTGTCTCGAGGGCGGGCCTAGAATGTGTGCGAGGCTTCTAGCAGTAAGAGGTGACTCTCCTAAGCCTCTGCCTCTTAAAACACAAGGCCTGCTGTTCCCAGCAGAAACCACGCTGATACTTTGTTTCTCTCCTCTGTATGCAGAGTTCACCTGCTGCACATTTTGCACAGGTACCAGCTGCCTCTCCTGTGGAACAGGCCTCTTCTGAGCGAGGCCCATGTTCACATGCTTGAAAGGAAGGAGCCCCCCGCCGCCCCCATGGGAATCTCAAGGTTTTTTAAATGTTGCTATTGTATTTTATTTACCACTTCGCCCCGTCTTTTCTATCCTACTTGAGTTGGGTCACCTTTTCTTACAGTGCTCCTAGCAGTTGCATTTCAATTGTATTTTCAAGTGAAATTTGTTTTACATTGGCATTTAAAATTGGCCTTTAACTGCTTCCTCGATTGGTTTATAAGATTTCTTTTTAATGCAAACGTAACCTGTGAGACTTGGATGCTGTTTAAGAAACATGCTGTGTTGCTGCAGACAGTAGTGCTTGCCTATTGTAACAGCGCTGATTCTGCTGTAGCCTCAGTGACCATGTAAATGAAATAAATGTGTCCTCTTCACCCACAAACAGTTGTTTGGCCCCTGGATTCTGGTTGCCACCGTGGTTCTCTAGTCAGTGCTGTGACCAGCATACTAGGTGCTGGGGATGATCAGCTCAGCTCCTTCGTTGGTCTGGGAGAG